TTGGAATATATATTTTCCAAAGCGGTATAATACAGAAAATGATTTAGCAATATCTGATCGTTAATGATTTTTAGATAATATCATTTAAAATTAATAAAATTTTATTTGACTACTTCAAGTGATGTTCAATTATAAATAAAAAAAGAGTCTACATCATCTAAATATATAAAATTTAGAACAAAGAATTTGTCAATTTATTAAATTTATCAATTTAGAATTTATCAAGAAATTTTAAATAAAACTATGTTTTGTTATCATATTGTACAGATAGTGGTATAGAGTATAGTCGCAGCAATTTTATACTTCTTCTGATAATGACCAACCGAGCATGTATTTGAGAGACTCAACTGATAATTGTTGATTTCGTATTGATATTATTATTTCAACATTTTTTGCTGAAAGAAGATCGACTAACTTTTTGTCGATTAGAGAGCAGCTTTCGATAGCCTTATAAAAGATTGAGTTTACGCTGCACTGTTTGATTTCGGTATCTCTAAAATCCGACTCTACAAAATTAATACAACTCTCCCGAATAACGTTGTACAGTGCACGTAGCTCCGTCAAGGTAAAATCGAGTCTCTGTGAATCTTTTGATATTGTGCGAATTTTTAAACATCACTCAAGTTAGGTTGGGTTATTTTGACAATCCAATTGAATCCAGTTAGACCTATTGGCCCTTTGTGTTATTATATAATCGATAAATTCAGAGTTTAAAACCACCTGGAACATATGGAAAAGTTTAGAAAACTATTGAGTGGAAGGTATTATAGTTGATCAAGGTTCCTAAAGCAGAGGGCCGCTGTATTAGTGCATGAGCTGGGAAAAAAAAACAGCAGATGAGATGCACTTTCATCATTCTCGCTACAACTGCGACAGGTATATTTGAAGGCGATATTCAATATACCAGCATGGTTGTCCAATCTACAACGATCTGTAAGTAAATCTACCACAAGATTCATATCTCTTTTGGGTACCTTAATGAAAGTATTGATATGGTGATCCCTTATAATAGGATCTTTTCAATATCATGATGGAAGTGATCATGTGCAGGACAGGTGTTTATCATAATAGGACAATTTCATATAGATGCCATGTTATGGTGATCCCTTATATTGTGATCTTTTCAATATCGCCGTGGTCATGTGCTGGGCAGGTGTTTATCGTAATGGGACAATATTTAACAAACTTCTTGCTTAGGCCGACGACAGCGGCATCATTAGGCGTAGCAAGTGTGGTATTACAGCTGCCTTTGTGGCTATTAAAAAATAGTCTGCGAAAATGGGTTTAGCGGTGGATAAGAGTCAAGGACATTATTTACCTTGCTACCGCCGTAACAAACAACAACGACGTTAGCCAGATGTCTTCCAAGTAAATTTTATTTATTGAATTTATACATATTGATACTCTGGTCGAAATCTTTAATTAATATTTTATATCAATGATACAACACATACTTGAGCTATAATTGTTTCCTATCTAAGTATGAGGTTATCTGAGCACAATTTACATAGTAAACAAAGTTGAGTAAACTTATAAGGACAGTAAAGAAGAAGCAGGAATATGGATCAATAAGTTTAGGTAACCCACAGTAGTTAATCTGAAATTTGTTGGTAAGCTAAAAGAATCACAAAATATTTGATTGCATTAAAGTCTTTTAATGTTGATATATCCATTAAACAGGAGTATATGGTATCCTTTATTTTTCAAACTGAACTCGACTTCCAATCAAAAAAATATTCAGTGCCTTTGAGTTACTTTGATATATATAAATTTAACCATAATATAGGCATCGAATACAATAGCCCAAAGTGAAACATTTGAAACTGTATGACTTTTAAAGTCAATTGTATCTTATGTTTTATTTTAGTTGTATTATTAAGATAAAAACGACATAATTTTAAAAAAATATTTGCAAACATATAACCTTCCTATACTTTAACAGGAAAAGATGGAAAGTAATTCCTCTCCCTACCTTCTCTTTACCCCATTCCGTTGTTCTGTTTTTATCTCTGAGTTACATCCGCACTAAAGCACCAGGATCTCTGTCCTATTTTGCCACAGATACTAAGCGTAATTCTTTTAGATCCCTTAAAAGAAATTACTGTTTTTTGTGATCGGATTTCATGGTTTTTCTGCAGCATTGCTTTCATCTTGTCTTTTGTCTTATCAGTGATCCGCATGAAGAACTTTGGTACACTCAAATAAGTTCCAAAAAAACTTAGTTAGAATGATAACAAAAATTTAAAGAATGTTTAAAGATGGAAATATAAATTATATATTGAGAAAGAAAAAAATGTGCTAATTAGATGTTACAATATTACACTAAAGTTAAAACTTCTGCATATCTTGACATAGTCCTTTCATAAAATTACTGAGATGCTGCTAACTTCTTTCTTCCTTAAATAAATACACAAACATTCGATTTGAATAGTTTTCGCGTTTTAATACACAATGAAATGAATATTTGTTTAATAATTTCAAAAAATATGAATAATTTTGCATTCATTAAAAACCTTTGAATATGCAGGCCATCATAAAAATATGCGAAACTTCATGTTCAACAAACTGCAAATTGATCAATATTTTTGCTTAGTGATAAAATGTTCAATAAAACTAAGCTAATAACAATAACTCAGTAGTAAAAAGTAGAGTATTATCTAAAAATAGATAATTATAAAAATTATTTGAACATAAACCATTGTTTTGAGCGCAGTGAAGCGCATTGTATATTTGCATAATTTTTTCATAAATCGATTTTTATGACTGCCAAAGCAATAAAACATAAAGAAACTGCACAAATAGTCATAAATATTATTTGCAATAAACACCAATCAGAGAAATAAGTTCATCAATATTTAAATTTTTATTGTATAAAAGGTGAACAACAACAGAGAAGGATTCATTCTAAATTCAATCATTCGAAGCTTAACAGCAATACTTCTCCACAATACTAAAGGATACTAAAGGAAATTTAGCAAAATGCGTGCTTTCATTGTAGTTTGCTTGTTAGCTGCGGTATACGCCGACAACTTAGGATACAATTATCAACCAGTTGATCACTCGAGCTCAGGACTCTCTTTCGTGCCTGGCGGTGGTGCAGCAACTCAGGATGCTCCCAGTTATGCAGCACCTGCAGCTTCATCAGGATTGCCATCTTATGCTGCACCTGCATTATCATCAGGATCTCCATCCTATGTTGCACCAGCAGCTTCATCAGGAGCACCATCTTATGCTGCTCCTGGCGGTGAATTGCAAAAGGAATTTTTCACCTACTCTGCCAACGATGAAGATTTCCACGATGGTGCCGCATCTGATCAAATTAATAATGCATTAAAGCAAAGTCTCCGTGTCATTTTCATAAAGGGACCTGAAAATAATGCACTTGAGAATGCCGCACTCAATCTCGCCAAAGCAGGAAGTGACCGTCAAACTGCCATTTATGTGTTACAAAAACAAGCCGACATTGGTGATTTGGCCAATAAACTTAATAACATTAATAACCAAAATAGCCAGAAACCTGAAGTTCACTTCGTCAAATATCGCACCCCTGAGGATGCTGCCAATGCTCAACATGCAATTCAATCGCAATACGACTCATTGGGTGGTCCATCTCACTCTCACCATGGCGGCGTCGCTCCAGTTATTAACTTTGCTTCTCCTGCTACTAGCCATCAAGGCAGTTATGGTGGTGAGGCCAGTGCACCAAGTGGCAGTTATTTACCACCATCTGTACTCCGTAGCTTGCGTCTGTAAGAAGAAACTGCTTTTTTGTTGAAAATCGATCGTTAATCCTGTTGACTAATTTTAGAAAATACTGTTAATAAATGTTGTATAAATAAATTTTAAATTTTGTTTTATTGAATCATTTCGAAATAAAAAAAAATACTCAAAGAAAATTGAATTGTTGAATTAATTGAACTATAGTAATAACAGTAGAGTTTTAGTCACTCATACAGTGTTCGTGTACATATGATGCTTTAAAAGGAAAAATAGTAAGAGAAGATCTTATTTTAATTTATAAGATATCTGAAATCACATTTGGTTCAATAATAGTTGAATAAAGTTACTGAAATCGTTTCTTGTTATCGTAGTATATGAACAAAGAATATTGGTAATAAATGCAGTACTCCGCATCTCACTAAGTCGGAAAATTGTCGATGACGTTTAGGCCCATCTTTGAATGGTATATTTATAAGTAATTGGCATACGTGAAAAAGTACTACTATTGGGAATAGATGCATTTAAATGTTATTTCGGACAACTAAAGTAACTTGAAAATATTTCTATCAAGGCACAAAAATATTTTTGTACTGAACACTAATTGCATCGTCTTTCACATTTGTAAGCCAATTATAGACCCTATTTATTAGATGCGATAATGAATTCAATCATTCGAGTGAAGAATTAAGCAGAATTTATTTTATAAAACATGGAATAACGATACTAACAATTATTAAAATGATCTAATGTATACCCTAATATTATATATTGACAGTTATGAAAATAAGAAGATAATATAACATCAACGAATAACTTTGGATTTTTTTTTTTGGGAGAAATTGTATTAGTGAATACAATAGATTTTATAAAATCAAATAGACGAGGGGGTTTACCGTAATAGGTTGTATTATATTTAGCTCTAATATGTTGATGCAGATAACCTTGATCAATACATATGGATAATGAGACTACGAAGAATATAATAATACGAAGAATCGTACTTGGTTGTGCTACCAAGGAGAATGGTATGTTTAGTTCGTAAGTGGCATCATTATCTTAAGTAATTAAGTTTGATTCGTCAAAGTTTTCTGTGATGCGTATATTATCATCATTGCGGCGAATAAATTTAATAGATCAATAAACTCTCTGTTGAGTTTAATATTCTTGAAAGTAAGAGTAGATAATATTATATGGTATTATTGACTTATTGATCGCAAGCTTTAACCTCTTATTTTTGTTAGTAAGGCGGGCAATGCCTACTGCCCACAATCCGGTACTTCGATTCGCATGAACTAAACATCTCCACCTTATTCTAAGAGAACTTGTCAAACTCCATGGCTACGTTAGTATTACTTGGGGGGTAGGCTCCCTATTGTTCATTTAATACCACCATCGATTTGACCTACGTCTAGGCCCCGCTATTGCTTAAGGTGGCTAGTCTCGTACTTCGACTTTTCTTGATATAACTGCTTACTCCATATGCCTTCTGTCTAGTCCTGCATTCTTTAGCTTCAGAATCGTTCTAGCAAATATTACTATGCGATAACACTTTGCTTCACTTTTTCATTGTTTCTTCTGTCATCGTTCTTGAGGAAAAAATACTACATTGCGTTGTTTTGACTTCTGGTTCATATCTTTAGTTGACTAAGTTATAACATATAAGTTCATATCTTGGATTTTTCTTAACCACTAAATGAATCAGAAGTGATATAAGTTAGCTATTAGAGAAAGAGTGTTGAATATTTAGATCTGCATATGTACATTATGCATATTTAAGAAACATATCGTTTTAAGAAATATAAAGTTTTCTCTAGCCTTCTAAATAAATTATTTTATGTAAGAAATATTTTATTTTACAAAAAATAAAACCCAAAAGTATTTCTGATAGAGTTCGGTGGGATGTATTATTTTTCTTTTGCTGCAAATCTAAGTATTAAAACTTTCTCTTCTTTAAAAGGACTCATCTTCTTATGTTCAGAGATAACAATAAAACTTAAAGTGACTAAAAACTAATTAAATAAAAATACGAATATATATTAAGATCACTGTTGATGAGTACTTGGCAATACTCGAAAAAGTGTTGTATGGTCAGCCAAATTTCAATATATTAACCAAATTTTTTTAGTTGCTGCTTCTTCATTACCGTTCGGAACCCTTTTAGTTTTCTTTTTGCCATGAGACGCGTCACATTCGACAAAAAAATCTATCTTAAAATTTAATTTATAAATTTTGGTTCCTCTCTCTCTCTCTCTCTCTCACACACTCTCTCTTTCTTTTTCATTCTTCGTAACATAATATTAATAATTAATTAGTTATAGTAATATATATTTTCTAATATGCTCTTGGATTCGCTAATCAAATTCAAGCCCAAAACAGCTAAAAATGTTTGATATTTACTTGAAGAGCTGATCAATGTGGTAAATGTAACAAAAATATTTGGTCCATTTTTAATGACGTATATAAACTATATAACTCTTGGGGTACTAACAAAGTTTGTTACTATTTATAACAGAAAATATTTCCATAGAATTTGCTTTATTTATGTTTGCAGATATTAAAGAACAAAACGGAGTTTCGATTGTGCAAAATGACCGATATAAGTATTGCTTTATAAGGCTATTGAATTTGTGTAGGGTGTTTCGATATGTCTTAGTATACTGCTTTAAGGGCAAGTATATATATAAATAACTAATGAAAATTTAAACTACGTTAGATAACATTATTAACTTAATAATTAAAATGTAAATCCGTTCGTTGCTAAGGTTAGACCAACTATTAACAGTAAAATTTATGATGCATCAAAAGCGCTGCGAGCAACAGCAACAGCAACGACAACAACAACGACGGCGACGGCGACGATGGCAACAACGACGATGACGATGACGGCGACAATGGTTCAATTGGTATTCAAGAGTTATGCTGATATGGATACTGTGACAATAGAAGTAATTTTGAATACCGAGCCAAGATACAAGTAAAGCAAGATCATTGGTACTCCAAGAGCACCCACAACACTAAAAACGATAATAAAAATTTGCATAAATAAAACGAAAAACATTTTTTTAGTTTCGAGCGGTCTGTGCATTTTTGTCATTTTTCTGATAAAATTAATATTAATAGAAAAAATACTTAGCGAACAAAAGAAGAAAGAAACCGAAAAATATAGTAAATGCAAAATACGAAAAAAATGGTAATTTTCGGTACAATGAAAAAGAAGAAAAATGAAATCATTGCTTGGATGGACCATCGAATAATAGGAGGAAGTTGACGCATAATTCTAATTTATGGGGAAACTAAACTTGAATATTATCATAAAGATGAATAATGGCAAATTGAATATTTGCGAAAATGTGCAGATTTAAGTATAAAATCACGCTCTTGAATATGCAATTCATATAACGATTTTATCTATCCTCATAACAACACTTACAAGGATTCAAAATCAAAAATTAAGATGCGTACATTTATTGTAAGTGGAAAAAAATTAAAAAAAATGAAATATAAGTAAAAATTAATTTTAAATTAAATTTTTGAATAGATTTTGTGTTTGGTGGCAGCAGCTTGTGCTGATAAACTTGGATATAACTATCGTCCTGTTGCACATTCTGATAATGGCCTCTCATTCCAACCTGGTGCTGATAGCTATAATGGCGGTGCAGCCACTAATGATGCACCTTCATATGCTCCACAAGGTGGTGAATTAGAAAAAGAGTTCTATTCTTTCTCTGCTAATGATGAAGACTTCAATGAACCAGCTGGATCATCTCCTGTGTCAAGCTCTTTGAAACGTGGTCTTCGTGTTATTTTCATTAAGGGTCCCGAAAACAATGGTCTCGAAAATGCTGCTCTCAATTTGGCTAAACAAGCTGCTGAACAGCAGACCGCTATCTACGTTCTCCATAAACAAGCTGATATTGGCGATTTGGCCAATAAACTTAATGCTGCTCGCAATGATAATAACCAAAAACCAGAAGTACACTTTGTCAAATATCGCACACCAGAAGATGCTGCCAATGCTCAACACGCTATCCAATCTCAATACGACTCATTGGGTGGTTCTTCTCAGTCTCATAATGGCGGTGTTGCTCCAGTAATTAATTTCGCTTCTCAGGCTCCAGTTGCCTCAAACAGTCCAGCCTCGTATGGTGGCAGCGCTTCTGCACCAAGTGCATCTTACTTGCCTGCATCAATTCTCCGTCGTTTCCGTCTTTAAGGAAACTTATTTGGAAGATTTCTATTTTTTAATGCTGTTGATATTGTTTAATGTTTGTTATGTTTTTTTTTGTAAATAATTTTAATAAATACCATAAAAGATAAATTTAAATTTTTAAAAGAATAATATCTTATTTTAATACATTTAAACTATTTTTTGATGTCTATATTTATTAATCCCAGTTCTATGCAAAATGGTTCTATTTAAAATATTTCCAAATGTTTTTGATTTGATGTTTAACAATTTCTAAGAGAAATTTACTATTCTCTCTATGTTCTTCACTATTTTGTATCTAGAATGCAGATGTGGCTAAAATGAAGCCAACGTCGCTTTCACTATTTGCAAATGAAACCTACATCTTCTTCCCAGAGAAGAAAGTTAATCGCTTCATGGGGAGTCTCCCATAAACCATATAGTCGAAGTTACATTCTTTTTCAATAATTGGTAAAAAAGCTTAAATCCAAAGACAAATGAGAGGATGGGATGAATACATTAAACACTATCAAAATTCAAGAAGGTTAAAAATTGGCGACAATTGATTACCTAAGTTTGAATCTTGATGACCGTTTTTAATAGAACGTTGCGATCACTTCATCTGCTTTATATTCCGACAAAACGGCCGCAGTTGGAACAGTGTCTCCGACTCCCTAGTATATTAATTAGTAGATGGACTACTAAAGTACACCCTTCTTGGAGAGACCACTTTCGCTTTATTTCGGGGAGGGTCTCTTTGTATTGGCGTTGCAAGTCATGCTCTTTTTATTTATATTCTCTACTTTTTTTTTTTAGATCTTCACTTTTTCACCGCATTTTTTGGTGTCTTCCCTATTTATTACTATAGTTTCTACATCTCCTTTCTAGGTCTAGGAAAAAGAGAAATTATAATTTAAATTTGGTCACTGTGGCGGTGATTTCAATGCCTCGTCACTTTGGGCAAAACAGTGCTGTTCAGTAAAATATGTCGGAATTTGTACTTATTAGGAATAAATATAAATAAATAACCTTTAAATTTAGGCACAGAAAAAAGAGTGCCGAAATAGTAGTGAAGTTAAGCAATTGACAATTGTAAAACATATCTTAAGGTCTTGACCAAAAAGTGGCTAAAATTGCTGTGAGCATTCGTCAAATGACTGCTTGTATAATATGCCTGTTTGAAACCAATACCCGAGGTTATTTATAGTAAATTAAAAATTTGAATTAAATGTAAATTTGTGTTATAGTTTAAATATTTAAAATTGATACCCATAACTTCGGTTATTACAATCAAACTTTAGTTGAATAAAAATTAGTTTAAATTAAAACTGCTCTTTAACCAAAAACCGATTTATAAAAGGCTATTGAACCAAAAGGTTAACTTAAAGTCTTGCTGGAGAGCAACAAGCAGTGAACTACGGCATGCATAAGGACACTGTACTCGAGTAGCTAAGTGTAATCTTTCAAAGGGTACCAAGCCAATGTGTTGATATTCAATGATTTCACCTGTGTGCATATTTGCACCAAACAACCAAAGCATTTACTCCACTGGAGGGATGTTAGTACTATACACAGACGACGTACACTGCAGCTTCAAATGGATGCTGGATGAAGTGAATGTAAAAATTAAATAGCTCAAGCGTTTGGTTTTTTGTCGTAGTTAGGAAGCAAGTTGGGGTTTATGCCTGCCTCTTAGATTTCAAACAATGCTCAGATTTTGTTGACTTTAGTTTCAAAGCTTCCTCTGACATGACTCGTTTGTCGTTTTCATCTTTCTTCTTTAAGTTATTTTAGTTATTTCTGACATATTTTTTTCCCTTTGCTGGTAGAAGACCGTGGTACAAGAGCAGTTACTGTAGTCAACTCCACACCAAGGTTAAGATAAATACGAAAGATATTGAAATTTATATGCATGCAACTACGAGTACACTAGAAACACAGCAACTAACATGTTGTGTGGGCGTTGAGCAGTGGGTGGGTAAATTGTTTTGATGCTCACATATTCGTACATTGAAAGGTTTATGCAGTGTACCAGCAATTTACGTGCTTATGTGTTTAAATGATAGAATTTTTTATTTACTCCGAAGATCCAGTGAAAAATATATAATGTGTACGCGTCTTATGGGTGATATATTAACGGAGTACTACGGAGTACGGAGCTTACTTCCGATTTAACGAATTTGAGTTGTTTTAAACTGTTAAACTTACAATTAATAAAATAAATTAAATAAGTGGAAAGCTAAGTTTTCAGTAGAGCGTTTAATTTAGAGTTAATTACCCAAACATATTTTATGTTTCGTATTAAGAAACACTTCAAGTGTTCACATTTATTTATTAACATCATTTTTGGCAATAAATTTATACTTTGGTCTTTAAATTTACGTTAATTGTTATTAATAAATAAAAGTATTTAACAAGAAATTGTTTTCTTTTGGATATTTTAAATTAAGTTCAACTAAATATGGCACAAAAATAAAATATAATCAGTAAATAAAGGAAATAATTTTAATCTTTAACTAATTAACTATTTGATGATATAATATTTATAAATAAATATGCAAACGTAAAAATGCTTACGGATAGCATTTTTTCATTAAAACTGTTTCCGGTTTAATTAAATTTAAAGAACAAAAATATTTGAAATATCTACTTAGACAAAAAATAAGTCAGTAATTAAATCCAAACAAAAAGGAAAAAAGTTTATTTTTCCAACTTTTCTATCACAAACATGGAGTGGTCCCTAAAACTTTTATCCTTTTTCGAAATCTTTTTTTATTATTTTTTTTTATTTTATATTATTTTTGAATGCCGTTATTTAAACCAGCTCGGAAAAAGTTTTGGCGTCTTATTATTTGTTCGCTGCCTTAATAAGTCAAAAAGTTAATATAATTTTTTCTTGTTCTTTGTAGTGGGTTTCCTATTAAACTGTCAAAAGTTCAAATTTGTTAAAGGATTTTTATTAATGTTTTGAAGAGAAACAAAATATCTGCGCATTAGAAAAGTTATTTTGATTAAAATAGTGAAATTCATTATAATATTGATAACACAATGACAAAATGTGGATTTCCTGGTGGTTCTATTTGTAGTTTAGTTTATTTAATATCTTCATTAATTTCAACTCAAAATTGTTAAAATAATATATACTTTAGCTATAGCAAAAGTAGGTAGGTAGGTCGGAGTGGCGGCTTTGTTTCCAAAAAGTCCACTTCAGCTTAAATGATGACCCATTGTAGTACCACAGGAATGGCATTTGTATGGACATTAGATTTAAATATATACTAATATTGAAAAGGGTAACGACTTCCTTATTAGGTAAAGGAAAATCAACCTAACAGTTTTATAGAACTATATAAACTTGGCCAGGTTTCTAATATTACAGGATGACAGTCAGATCGGTGAGAAAAGGTGATCCAAAGATTTTTAATCTTTTCCTAGCTAAATCAGGACACTGGCACATAGATGGAGCACGGTCTCCTCCTTAGAGCCGCAATCTCGACAAAAATCATTATATGATAAGAAGTCACTGACTAGTTCGTTTCTTGTCCAAACTATAGCTTAGCAACATATAGATTATTTTAAAAAGGATAAAGACGTTTTGATGTATTCTAAATTAGAGTCTAACGTGTGATGGCAACTCCGCTTCAAAGCGAGTTTGTATCCAAAAAGTGGTCATTCAAGTGTTACCGTCAACGTTTGTGAGTCTTGAGTCCACTATTTCGATGTTGAAACAAAATAAAAGACGTAGGAGTAGTATTAACTCGACTCATGTTTTTCGAAGCAAATAAATTGTCCAGAAGATAGTCATTCAGTTGATACCGTCAGTGTTTGCGAGAGTTGAGTCCACTATTTCAATTGAAATCAAAATAAAAGACAAAGACGTGGGGCTATAAAAAGACGATCACGAAAGTGTTCGCGTCAGTGGTTGCCTGATTTAATTTTAGCACTTTGATCTTGAACCAAAAGTGGAGTCGAAAGAATCATGTCAACACGTTTCTTAATCTTCAAATTTGGGTTCAAAAAACGGTCATGAAAATGTTACCATCGGTGTTTATGAGACTTGGGTTTATCAGTTTGACCATGTGATTCAAGTGACTAAGTAGAGGTGTCAACAAGACTCTTCTACACCGAAGCGAGTTCGTGTACAGAAACTAGCTGCGATGCTATTAGAGTTAGTGTTTGTAATGCAATGGAATTACTTTTCTATAGATAGATAGATTACTGTTTCATAGATCTATCAGTTTGTTGATAGATTATTTTCACACTTTTTGGTTTAGTGAATCCAGAAATTAGTGAAAAAAGACCCTGAAAAAAAAAATAATCAAGATCATGCATCCAATCAAACAGGTAAAAAGCCTTCATTAAAATCAATGAGTAAAAGTAGAAGTTTTTCCAGCAACTATCCACTTAGCTAGATTTATCTTCCTTTAGTATTTAACTCCTTGTCCAATCAAAAATAATTATGTGCAATAAATAATTTTTATTAAATGAAACGATGGAAAGGTATTATGAAAACTTCCTATGAAAACTTGCTACAGACATAGGATTCATAAATTGAATGATCATTGAAATGAATGAATTGTCGCTGTGATCATCAATCAAAAGAGTTTGGACTAGTAGTTCAATTTCAGAAAATTTATTATGTTAAGAGTGAGAGAAAATACAAAGTGTCTGTTCAGATTTTTTCATAAGAGTCGAGGCTATCTAAGGCTTCTCAGTGTTGTGAAAGCAGTGTTGTTCAGTTATAAATGTAAACATTTCTGTGGTTAGAAGCAAGTTATTACAATTTCTGTGTCACTCTGAACAATATGCATTTTCGTCAATACCCAAAAAAAGACAATTTTGACCCCATTAGTTTCTGTATAAGAGGTCTTTAATTTGAATAGAGTAAACAACATTTTTGTATTTCAACTGTAAATATAAATCGTTAATGCATTGAATTAAACCATCAATTCGAATAAAATTGATTAAAAAAAATTAAATAGAAATTTTTACACATAATATAAAATTAATTATTTTCTATGTCCGAA